TCAACATTATAAATTACAGTATTCTAATACTCTACATTTTATCTACTTTTACGTGTAAGATCTGTCAAATAGTCAGAGGCAGGTAGTAAAGTCTGCTACCATTACTTATTTCTGCCTATTTCTTCTGATACCAAAGTCAGGTCTCTGCTGACTCTATGTTGAAGTTATATCATTCCCTGAAAGGCTTATAAATAAAATAGATGATTTGGAGTCTTAAATTTTTCTTGATCAATATGAATTCTGAAATCATGCTTTATTTTTGTTTATTTAATATATCTGAACCTAAGCTTGTAATTTCAACTTGACTTGAAGTTTTTAATCCTGCATCTTGTAGATATTATATGATAGATTATTTTTTTCATAAGATTGGAGTCTTCTCCTTTTGCCAGGTAAGTTTATACTATGTACAGATATTTATATATATTGTCACAACTGATATTCTTACTCCAGCCATTGCTATGTTTAGTTTTATGTGCTTCCTTGTTGGCTTCTTAACTTCTACATTTTTTTTTTGTTGTTGTTCTTTCAAGACTTATAGGATCTACATCCTTTTAATTTACCATTAAAAATTTCAAGGACTCATGTTGCTGTAATTATAAACTTCAAGAATAAAAAATAGCTTTTTTATTTTCTCTTGTGAAAATGAGGCAAAATACACTTTTCCCTTATGACAACCTTGCTTCTCCCCGGTTTCTCTCTTTGTTCCCAAGTAATTATTATTTTCTATTATATATCTTCTCAATTAACAGGGATTGACATTTGCATTTCATTTTGTAACTATATGGGAAACGCTAGGATTAAATGCTGTGATTGAATGCATGCGTTTTCCTTCACTGCCAGCTTTTTTTTTTGGTTAAGGACTGTGATTTTATCTCAGGTTAATAGCTATGACTTTTGAGTTTCGTGTTGAGAAAAGGTTTGTAAGTCCTGTGTTCAGAACAGGGACTCGTGAAGACTGTCTCTCTATTACCCACACACGGAAATAACTGCGAGTCTGAACATAGTATTATAGTTTCGTGCCCTTCCTCCCTCTATAGAGGTTTCTCTGGTGTTTTCTGTGCTCTGGTTTTCTTATTTCAAAATATCAGGGGGCACAAGTGTTCTCGTTACATGGATACATTGTACAACGCTGAAGTCAGAGCTTTTCCTCTGCCTGCTGTACATTCTATCTGATGAGTAAGATTTTATCCCTCCACCTCCCACCCTCCCCCTTCTTAGTTTCCAATGTCCTTTACAACACTTTATGACCATGGATCCCCATCGTGTAGCTCCCACTTGTCAGCGAGAACATGTGGTGCTTGTTTTTCCATTCCTGAGATACTTTGCTTAGGATAATGTCCTCCCGTTCCATCCATGCTGCTGCAACGGACATTATTTCATTCCTTTTTACAGCTGAGCAGTACTCATGGTGTATATACGCCACATTTTCTTTATCCACTCATCAACTGACAGGCACTTAAACTGAGTCCACATCTTTGCAATTGTGAATTGTGCTGCAATAAATATTCAGGTACAGGTGTCTTTTTGATATAATGACTTATTTTCTTGTGGGTAGATACCCAGTATTGGGATTGCTGGCTTGAATGGTGGGTCTACTTTTAGTTCTTTGAAGCAGCTCCATACTGTTTTGCACAGAGGATATATTAATTTACAGTCCCACCAACAGTGTGTAAGCATTCCTTCTTAGTACATCTATGCCAAAATCTGTTTTTTAAAATTTTTTAATAATGGCCATTCTGATAGGGGTAAGGTGATATGTCATTGTGGTTTTAATTTGCACTCCCCTGATGGTTAGGGAAGTTGAGCATTTTGTCATATGTCTTGGTCATTTAGAAAAAATTTTATTCGTGTCTTTTGCCAGCTTTTTAATGGGATTGTTTGGGTTTTTTTATTGTTGATTTATTTGAGTTCTTTGTAGATTCTGGGTATTAACTCTTTGTAGGATATATGATTTGCAAATACTTTCTCCCATTCTATACGTTGTCTAATTTTCTATTATTTCCTTTGCTATGCAGAAATTTTTAATTTTAAAAAGTCCCATTTATTTGTTTTTCCTTAATCTGCCTTTGAGGTCTTAGTCATAAATTCTTTGGCTAGGCTGATGTCCAGAAGAGTTTTTCCTACGTTTTCTTCTGGAATTTTTATAGTTTCATGCCCAAATTAATTCTTCTATATGGCAAGAGATAGGAATCTTGTTTCAGTCTTCTACATGTGGCTGTCTAGTTTTCCAAGGACCATTTATTAAATAAGGAGTGCTTTTCCCAGTGTATGTTTTATCTCCTTTATTGAAGATCGAGTTGGTTGTACATGTATAGTTTTATTTCTGGGTTCTCTATTCTGTTCCATTGGTCTATATTTCCACTTTTATACCAGTATCATGCTGTTTTGGTTACTATATCCTTGTACTATAATTTTAAATCAGGTAATGGGATGCATCCAGATTTGTTCTTTTTTGCTTAAGATTGCTTTGGCTATTAGGGCTCTTTTTTTTGTTCCACATGATGCTTAGGATTATTTTTTTCTAGATCTGTGAAATATGACATTGTTATTTTGATGGGAATTGTGTTGAATCTGTAAATCACTTTGGGAAGTATGGACATGGGACGTTTTAACAATGTTGATACTGTTGATCCATAATCATGAGATGTTTTTCCATTTGTTTGTGTCATCTACAATTTCTTTCTTCAGTGTTTGAAGTTCTCCTTGGAAAGATCTTTCACCTCCTTGATTAAGTTTATTCCTAGGTATTTTATTTTCTGTGCAGCTATTATAAATGGTCTTGAGTCCTTGATCGGACTGTCAGCTTGACTGTTATTAGTATATAGAAATGCTACTGATTTGTGGACATTGGATTTGTAACCTGAGTCTTTTGTCAATTCATTCATCAATTTTAGGAGTCTTTTGGTGGAGTCTTCAGGGTTTACTCAACACAAGATCACATTATTGGCAAACAGGGATAATTTGACCTCCTCTTTCCCAGTTTGGATGTCCTCTATTTGTTTCTCTTGCCTGAATGACCTGTTTAGGATTTCCAGTACTATGTTGAATAGAAGTGGTGACAGTGGGCGTCCTTGTCTTTTTCCAGTTCTTGTAGAGAATGCTTTCAAATTTTCCTCATTCAGTATGATGTTGGCTGTGTGTTTGTCATATATGACTTTTATAATTTTGAGGTATGTTCCTTCTATGCATAGTTTGTTGAGAATTTTTTGTGAAAACTTGCTGGATTTTATCAAATGCTTTTTCTGCATATATTGACATGATCATATGGTCTTTGTTTTTGTTTCTGTTTATGTGGTGAATCACATTTATTGATTTGCATATGTTGAACCATCCTTGCATCCCTAGGATCATGGTATATATATTTTTTGATGTGCTGTTGAATTTGGTTTGCTAGTATTTTGTTGAGGGTTTTTGCATCTATATTCATAGGGGATATTGGTCTGTAGTTTTCCTTTTTGTTGTGTCCATTCCTGCTATGGTATAATGGTGATATTGGCTTTGTAGAATGAGTTAGGGAGGGTTCCTCCTTCTCAATGTTATTGAACTATAGAATGGGTGCCAGTTCTTCTTTGTAGATCTGGTAGAATTCAGCTGTGATTTCATCTGGGCTGGAGCTTTATTTTGTTGGGATTTTTTTATTAATGTTTCAATCTTGCTACTTATTATTGGTCTGTTCTTTCTATTTCTTCCCAATTCAGGCTTGGGAGATTGTGTGTTTCCAGGAATTTAACCATTTCCTGTAGGTTTTCCAGTTCATCTATGTGGAGATTTGCATAGTAGTCATGGATGATATTTTGTATTTCTGTGGTATCAGTTGTAATGTCTCATTTTTCATTTTTTATTGACTCTATTTGAGTCCTTTCTCTTCTCTTTCTGGTTAATATAGCTAGTGGTCAATTTATTTCATTTATCTTTTCAAAGAACCAACTTTTTGTTTCATTGATACTTTATATTAGTTTTTTGGGGGGTTTCTATTTCATTTAGGTCTGCTCTGAGTTTTATTATTTCTTTCCTTCTGATAGATTTGAGTTTGATTTGTTCTTCTTTTTCTGGTTCCTTGAGGTGTGACATTAGGTTGTTAATTTGTGGTCTTTCTGTCTTTTTGATGTAAGCAATTTAAGGCTATGAATTTTCCCCTTAGTACTGCTTTGACTGTATCCCATGGATTTTTGAAAGCTTATGTTGCCTTTGTTGTTCAATTTGAAAATTGTGTAGATTGCTTAATGTCCACATACTTGGGTAGCTTTGAGAGTTCCTCTTGGAATTGATTTTTCATTTTATTCTACTGTGGTTTGAAAAGATATATGTTATGATTTCATGCTGAGACTTGTTTTATGGCCTAACATATAATCTATCTTGGAAAATGTCCCATGTGCTGATAAGAAGAATGGATATTCTGCAGTTAGGGAGTAGAATGTTCTATAAATGTTATGTCCATTTGTTCTAGAGTTCCAGGTAAGTCCAGTGATTCTTTTCTGATCTTCCGCCTCAATAATCTGTCTAGTTCTGTCAGTGGAGTGTTGAAATCCCTAGGTATTATGATGTTGCTGTTTATTTCTTTCCTTAGATCTAGTAGAATTTGCTGGTGTCACCTTCTCTTGTAAAATCAACTCCAAAACTATGCAAAATGTCAAATATCTACTAGTTTAGAAAAAACATGTCAGACACCAAAAATAAGCCCAGAAGATGGAGGAGCATTAATGAATCATTGCCTGGAGGAGAATGATCTGCAAAGAAGAGCTGGGGACTTGCCTTATTGTTAATAGAATCCTTGGAGAATTCCAGATTGTAAAAAATATGACAGAGTTTCAAGATTATTTGAAGTGGAATATTTGTGGTGGCCAAGTGTGGGCAGGGTATTCCAAAGACTCAATCATAGGGTCTCTGAGAGCTAGAACCTACATATCTGATGTCAAACAATGCATGTGGAGTGCTGTATTTGGTTTCCACTGCTGCTTATGGGAACCAGGTACCCCATCTTTGGTCCCAACTCACCCTGAGTTTCAGCTCCACTTTCTCTCCTTACCAGCTGCACTGCAGCCCTTTATTCTCACTCGTTAATGTCTTGCAGGCCCGCATCTACCCAGCACAGAAGGATGAGGGGGGAGAATGTCACCAAGGTCAGCATGTTCGTGCTGGTAGGCTTCCCCACAGCACCTGGGCTGCAGTATGTGCTCTTCCTCCTCTTCCTGCTCACCTACCTCTTTGTCCTGGTGGAGAACCTGGCCATCATCCTCACTGTCTGGAGCAGCACCTCCCTCCACAGGCCCATGTACTACTTTCTGGGCTCCATGTCATCCTTGGAGATCTGGTATGTGTGTGACATCATACCCAAGATGCTGGACGGCTTCCTCCTGCAGCGGAAACACATCTCTTTCGTCGGGTGCATGACACAGCTCTACTTCTTCAGCTCCCTGGTGTGCACGGAGTGTGTGCTCCTGGCCTCCATGGCTTACGACCGCTATGTGGCCATCTTTCACCCCTTGCGCTACCACGTTATCATGACCACGGGGCTGTGCGTCCAGCTGGTGGTCTTCTCCTTTGTGAGTGGCTTCACCATCTCCGTGATCAAGGTCTACTTTATCTCCAGCGCCACGTTCTGCGGCTCCAATGTCCTGAACCACTTCTTCTGTGACATTTCCCCCATCCTCAAGCTGGCCTGCACAGACTTCTCCACGGCAGAGCTGGTGGATTTCGTCCTGGCCTTCATCATCCTGGTGTTCCCTCTCCTGGCCACCGTGCTGTCCTATGGGCGCATCACCCTGGCTGTCCTGCGCATCCCCTCGGCCACTGGCCGTTGGAGAGCCTTCTCCACCTGCGCCTCTCACCTCACTGTGGTTGCCATCTTCTATACGGCCATGATCTTCATGTATGTCCGGCCCCAGGCCATTGATTCCCGGAGCTCCAACAAGCTCATCTCTGCTGTGTACACTGTCCTCACCCCCATCTTGAACCCCTTGATCTACTGTCTGAGGAACAAGGAATTTAAGGATGCCTTGAAAAAGGCCTTGGGCTGGGGCCAAGCTCCACCATAGAGGGCAGGCCTTCTGCTCCTCCAGAACATCATCTCAGAATACACAACCTCTGTGGGAAGGCCATTTGATTTGCTATAATGGAAACTCTTAGCATTGTTGTTATACTGCATTTAATTTAAACATCACTTCCAAATCTATCTTCTCCTTCAGGGAAAAAATGGGATCGAAGTTAATATCACAGACCTTTTGTTTGTGCTGTAATACCATTATTTTCTTTGTTTTATGTATGAGCAAAGAAGGACTTGGTAAAATTTAATAAATTTTCCTCACTTTCAAAATTACATTTCAGCAAACAGCAAAACATGACAGGTCATCTGAGATTTTAAAGTCCCCAATAAATTGAAGTGTGTTAATGTACTGAAATGTTGCACTCTGTGGCAAAATGAGCTCCAAGTGTCCCCAAACAAAAGTGTGTCTGGGAATTGTAAGGGACCACAGATATGCATTTTAAACACACAGATGCATTCAGTGCATGTTCACTGACAGTCTTGGGTGGCTCCACCTCTGCCTTTTCCTACATCAACTCCTCCCCCCTGTCTAGTCAGCAACCATGAAAATAAAAAATGCTTTGCTAGTGTGTGAGTTCATCCTGGTGGGACACATGTAGGTACCCAGGCAGGTGGGGAACTGCCTCTGTCCTGGTCAGTGTTGTACCCTCTCAGCCCAGCACAGTGGCTGGTGCTGATGGGCACCTGGGAGACAGTTTTGGGATGGGTGGACAGCGAGGAGATCAAGAGAGCAAGGAGAGAGAGAAAGCAGACCCAGAGGGGGCTGCAGGGAGGACTCTAGGAGGGCCATGAGGATGGTATGATATTCCTTAAAACATAAATAGGAATTATTCAAGTTAGAAGGTGGAGAAGAGGAAAGGCATTCCAGGCAATTCTATACTAGCTAGGCATCAGAGGCAAGAAATAGCAGAGAGCTGTGAAGATCTGAAAGTCACAAGCATAGCTGTGGCCTGATGTTCATCAAGGGTTGACACTTGAGGGAAAGCTAGAGTACGGCACCACAGATCTTCCAGATGTGGCAGGACAGAGGCAGAACCCTGAGTGCTCACAGGTGTTACAGGCAGGGGGGAACCCTAAGAGATGACAGGTATGGGAGGCCACAGTCAGCACCCTGGGTGCACACAGGTGAGGCAGACTGGACTGAGAACACTAAGAGTCCACAGGTATGGCAATCAGAGTGGTACCCCAAGGTCCCACAGGTGTGGTAAGCAGAGAGAAACCCTGAGATCCTATTGGCCTATAAAGAGACATAAAAGATTTCAGGAGATTTGCAGGGATTTCCTTGAAGGAATATGTGAACAAGTCAGTTCACATGTCAAAAGCTACCTTGCCTCAGGAGGGCATCTTTCTGATTGGGAGCATTTTGCATGGTGACACTGTCTCAGACCAGAAGGCTGTTCGTGCCTGATGCCTCTGTAAGAGAAGGCTCTATATGTGGTCACAGGTGGAGAACTGATCAAGAATGCCCGCCCGGCAGACACCTGCAGCTAGAGATAATTGGCCTAAGGGAGAGTTCCTGCTTCACTCCTGACCACTTGTCTCAATCAACAAGAAACTAGATAAAGAAATATAGAGCCTCTATATTTTTGTTTAGCGTTTCTGCTAACCGATAATTTTATCTTAGGACTTAGAAGTTTATCTTAGAAAAATATTGTAACCATTTGCTCATGTAGATAGGGATCTCTAGAAGCTTTTGGGGACACTTAAAACCTAAATGAACTACCTGTTATTATGTAAATCTGTTACCACTGGCAACTGATCGCTGCATGAATAAATACTGATGCAGGACTTCACTTGGGTCCTCACAGCTCATGGGAATGCTGGAGGACCCCTGACTTCCCCATCATTTAAACTATACTTTTGTCTCTGTGTCTCTTCATTATTTCTCTATTATTTCTCTGTTTCTATTATTTGCATATCCTTTGCAACCATCCAGCTAGGGAACCCAATTTTGCTGGGAGCTTAACTAACTGTCCACAAGATCCCACAGATATGGCAGGCCAGAATCAGAACACTTATTGCTCACAGGTGTGGCAGGCCAGACTCACAACCCTGAGTGCTCACAGGTGTGGCTGGCCAGAGTCAGAACCCTGAGTGGTGACAGGTGTGGCAGGTATAGGAGAGCCCAGAGAGCACAGAGATGTGGTAGGCGGAGCAGAACGCTCATACCTCACAGGTGAGGCAGGGAAAGTGGAACTCTGAGTGGCAGGCAGAATGGAACCCTGAGAGCCCACAAGTGTGGCAGGTAGAGTGGGGCTCAGTGCACACAGGTGTGACAGGCAGAGCAGCATCCTGAGTCCTCACAGGCGTGGCAGGCAGACAGGAACTCCTAGAGCCCGAAAGTGTGGCACGCCAGAGTAGAACCCTGATGTTCACAGTTGTGGCAGGCAGAGGGGAACCCTGAGAGCCCACGGGTGTAGGAGGCAGAGTAGATTCCCTACAGCCCATAGGTTGGGCAGGCCAGAGTCAGAACCCTGAGAGCCGACAGGTGTGGGAGGCCAAAGTTGGAACCCTGAGTGCCCACAGATATGGCGGTCAGAGCTGAACCCCGAGAGCTCCCAGGTGTGGCAGTCAGGGCTGAACCCCAAGAGCTCACAGGTGTGGCTGGCAGCATGGGCTTCATCCAGCCGTTATTGCTAGTGGTCGGAGGCATGTTCAGATTCCTACTTTAGACATTCCGCTTGGAATGTCTGTGTGTGTGACATGGACCAGGGGACACAGGGGCAGGCAGGGAGACTATGGAGGAGACTCGAGCTGTCCGGATGAGGTCTGAGCAATACCTAGACTGAGCAGAGAACCCAGGAGGGATGGAGTGGCCAGGCCCAGTAGAGGACTGCCTGGGTGTTCGAATCAGCATCAGGGTTAAGGAATTGAGGGGTGCTTCCACATTCATGTTTGGAGGACCAAATGGTCGACAGTTAAGGTTCATGATGCCTTTGCTGCCGCTGGGCTTCTCCATCCATGGCTTTTCCTGGTGTGCTGCCCACACCAAGGCAATGTCCTCCCAACTGGCCCTCTCACTGTCACTCTCTTCCAGGGCCACCGTCCACACCTAAGTCTTCTCCTTTCAAACATATACCTTTTAATAAGCACTCACTAAATCCATCTTTATCTACTATGGGGTCCATCCAAGTCTCTGTACAGCTTCAAGCCAGAGACAACCGAAAAAACGTTCTTCAGTTCATATTATAAACTTCACCCAACCCTGGAATTGGCCTTGTGAGTCTGGTTTTGATTAAGTATAGAAACTGCTTTGTAGTCAAGAATCCCAAAACCCTCAGATTACACAGGATTCTGAAACCCGTTCCTCCTCTGGGCCAGCCAGCATCCTGCCCTGTGGCCAGGCCCCCAGGGCTGCTCCAACCCTCTGGGAGGTCGTCCACTCTGGACCCCCTGGGGACTTGGTCGTATTGGAGCAGCTCTTTGGGCAGAAAGGATGGCCTTCCTCATGGTGAATGTCCGTCACCTTGCAGCTTTGCCCACTGCTGCATGTCCTACTATGGGGAACTAATGAATGTCTAAAATCCACCTTTATCTGAGGCAAGGAAAAGTTGTTTTACCCCAGCTGTACTAATTACAACTGAATTTTTATATCCACATGCAAAGCCTTTGTGTACACTGTGAACACTGTTAAAACTCATTTATCCTGACTCTCTGCCAAACTCTAGGATGCTCTTCTATCCCTATGTTGTTGCTCAGGAGCACACTGACTGTCTACCCCCAGCTACCTCTCACAAAAATCAACTCACGCTGGGTAACAGACTTGAACCTTAGGTGTGAAACTATTAGAATGCTGGAGGAAAATGTTGGAAATACTCTTCTAGTCATTGTCCTAGGCAATGCCTTTATGAAGAAGACCCCAAAGGCAATCACGACAGCAACAAAAATAAACAAATGGGACCTGATCAAATTAAAAAGCTTCTGCACAGCCAAAGAAACTGTCAAGACAGCAAATAGACAACCCACAGAATGGGAGAAAATTTTTGCAAGCTACACATCTGATAAAGGGCTGATAACTAGAATCTGT